TAATAGCAAAAATGGTGCCAGGTATCACAACAGCAACAGAACTTTGCTGTTGTCTGGATATTATTCTTTTCTTTGTTTTTTTTTTTAATGGAATGTGCTAAATGTCTATAATTTTGTTCAGATGACTGCAGAACCTGGAAAAGCTGTTGCTGCTATCGATGCATAACATACTATTATTAGTCTATATATATACACACACACACACACACACACACATATATATAAATTGAATTTTGGGAAATGTTAACGGTGCTGCCAACTTTGGAAAAAGTCATCCCAATTTACTGTGTTGACTTGGCATTGTACAGAAATGGACAATCATATTGGTCTAGAAATGTTAATTTACTTTTTTTTATTGTTTATTTTTTGTATTGTCGATCTATCTATTTGTGACAGTGGGGTATCGAGGTCCCCTGCTACCATTGTGTTGGTGCTTAGATGATTTTTCATGTCCTTTAGTATTTGTTTTAGATAGTTGGGCACAATAGTGCTTGGTGCATATATATTTATGATTGTCATGTATTCCTCTTGGGTTGTTCTGTTCTCTTTACAAGGATATAGTGTCCTTCTTTGTCTCTCTTAATCAGTGTTGGTTTGAAATCCATGTGATCTACAAAGAGCACAGCTACTCCTGCTTTTTTTGGGGAGGTCCTCTTGCATGGAGTATTGTTTTCTACCAGGAAATTAAAGTGTTTTGAAATGAATGTCTAGTCCATCATTCAACTTCAATTTCACTACTTGTCATACCTAGGAGAAGAATATTTTTTCCATTGGGATCCAGTTTTTTGTTGTGATTATTTATTTTTCAAAATTGATTTTATTGGTACATTTAATGTACACAATATGATGACATTCATCCTTGGTAATCTGTACCTTTACATAAGCAATCTTGGTTCTTATTTTTCCCCATTCTACCCTCGCTTCGAACCCTTCCTCCCTATATACAAATTGTTTCCATTATTTTTCATTTTCTCATATTAAGTCCATTCTCTTCTTTCCTTTCCCCACCCCTCCCATTTCCCCTTCTCCTTTGTCCCCTTTCTTCCTATTTCACTTAATCTAGTATACCTTTTGGTCCTTATTTACACTTTCAGTTTCTCACACTAGAGAAACTATTCAGTATTTACCCACGTGTGTCCTATTTATATCACTTAAGAGTATCATCTCAATGTGCATTTAGTTACAAATATCTTTAATTTCTCATTCTTTATGGATGAATAGTATTCCATTTTATAAAGAAATCACATTTTCTTTATCCAGCCTCCTGTTGATGGAAAATGGGTTGCTTCCAAGTTTTAGCTATCACAAATTGTGCTGCTATGAACATGGGTGCACATATATCACTATGGTGTGATTTTTTTTTTTTTTTGGTACCAGGGATCAAACTCAGGATCTCATTCTTGCAAAAGAGGCAGTGGAAGCACTGAGCTAAATCCCCAGCCCATTATTCTTTTAATTCTTTAGGGAAGATACTCAGCAGGGGAATAGCTAGGTCAAATTGGACTTTCAAACCTGGCTCTTTGAGATAGCGCCACACTGATTTCCACAGTGGTTGCACCAGTCTATGTTCCCACCAGCACTGGAGCAGGGTCCCTCTTTCCCCACAGCCCTGCCAGCATTTATTATTGGTTGATTTCATGACAACAGCCATTCTTTCTGTGGTGAGGTGGAATCTCTGTTGTTTTCATTTGCATCTCTTGAATGACCAGTGATGCAGAACATTTTTTCATGTGTTTATTTGCTATTTCTACCTCTTT